TTTACCCCATTCAAACACGCCCCCCCCCCCCCGTTTTCACGCGCCGCGCTCACGTGGCTCATGGAAGCTTACAGATAGCCAAGGACGAATTTCAGTTTGTACTTCAACTAGGTTCCATCAGACCTTCTCAATGCACTTCACTTCTCCATATGGTATCCAAGACAACACCCTCAGACTACCGAGCACTCAACAATGTCAGCATATTTGACCGGTACTGAATCCCACACCTGCACGGTTTTTCTTCTACTGTAAAAGGATGCATTGTTTTTTTCTCATATTGGTATTCTTCGTGCGTACTGTCGTATACCAATTCACACAAACGATATGGACAAAACAGCTATCACTACTCCATTTGGTTTATTACGTAACGATACACAAACCCTCCAAAGATTCATCGATCAGTGTTTCTCTGTTTTATCCTTCGTTTTCGCATATCTTGATGACATATTAATTGCCAGCGCTCATGCAGAACAACATTTGGTGTATTTTTCCGTTTATCCAAATATGGAGTAGTTGTCAACCCGCACAAAGTGTGTTGACGCTTCTTGGTCATACTGTTGACAAAAACGACATGACGCCGGGAAAGTACGGGCGATTCAAGATTTTTCTCCGCCCACAACATTAAAGTAACTCAAATGCCGTTTTATTCCCCGCGTTACCACCCCTGACGAACTTGTTAGCTGACAGTCCCAAAGCATTCTGTTGATATGATTCGGGATTAGAATCATTTGTAAAGGTTTGGACATTGTTCCACTATCAGCCATATGCTCCATTGTCACTAAGCCTAGATGCTTCCAGCACGGCTGTGAAGGCGGTAGTGCAGGAAGCGATTAACAATAGCGTCCAGCCACTTGGGTTTCTCTCACGAAAACTGTCTCCCACTATAGTACATCTGGCCGCGAACTACCGACGATTTATCTGTTTATCCACCACTTTCGCCATATACTAGAAGGCCGTGTCAAACTCGTGTCACACTCGGAGCAAAAACAGGTAGATATTCACCACTCGTCAGCTGGATTACATTTCGCAGTTCACCAACGACATTGCTACCTTCCAGGACGTCTCAACATTGCCAGTAACACTTTATCTTGTCCAGCAATAGATTCACTTTCCTCAATACCCATGATAGATCTCCGACTTATGGCTAAACTACAGAAAGATGGACCTATTACTTCGTCGTCAAGCGACAAGCAGTCTTCATTACACGTCTAACAGGTGCCACTACAAATTGCACCAGACACAATCGACTGTGATTTATCTACTCCACTCCCAAGACCGGTTGTCCTGCTCTCGACGTGACGCCATGTTTTTGATGCTTTACATAACGTCTCCCATGCCGGCATATGTTCGACTGTTAAACTCGTTTCTTAGCGTTCTGTTTTGCTGAATCTGAACAAAGTCGTGCTTTCATGGGCGAAACCTTGTCTAGGATGTCAACGTTCCAAAACCACCTGGTATACTTACTCACCCATTGGTACCGATCAGACTCGCGATTCGACCATGTTCACCTAGATATAGTCGGTCCACTTCCGATGTCGGACGGCTTACATATGTCGGCCTCAGGCTGTTCCCGTTTGCAATATTTCTACCGAGACTATCGCCCGAACATTCATGAATGGTTGGATTTCCGATTTTGAAGTTCATTTATAACCACCGACTGCGGTTCCCAATTTGAATTTCAACGCCTCACCAAACTGCTAGGATGCACACGCATTCGCACCATGACACAACATCCTCAAGCAAACGGTCTCGTGGAACGATTTTATCGACATGTGAAGACCAGTTTGCGATCACAAAACAGCTCCACTAACTGGTCCGTTCAGTTGTCCTGGATTCCGCTACATTTGCGCACAATATTTCGTGCGTTTATGAACCAGCCAAATTCGTTTTTGGCGCGACTCTCCGTATCCCGGGCCAATAGTTCAGTTCAAACGATCACTTTTCTATCGACCCTGCCACTTACGTAGCCCATTGAAATACTCACGTTCGTCTCAACTACTCTATTATTCATCATCGATCCCATACCTTGAACTTGTTTCCATGCGTTAAATCGCCTTTACAACCTCCGTAAAATGGTCCTTTTCGTGTTCTTTTCCGTTCTAAAAAAACCCTCCACTGTCCAATTACTCGATAAAACCTGTTGCCGTATCCATTGACCGCGTTACACCAGAATACACTGATTTTATGGAATCCCGTGCTCCTACACCGGCTGCATGCACTCAGATCAGTAATACAGTTCAGTTCGTCAGAAATATGTTATTTGACCCAGTACTCCCTGTGTGCATGGGCACGTTTTTTGGATCACACTAACGCCTTGGTCCTGGTTTGCGGTGAGTACGTCAGACATGATATTTTAATGTGATTGTGTGAAGTTTTCGGACGGAAAACACTCATGCTTGTTTTTGTCGTAATAATGAACGCAGGTTTCTAATTAGTGGCTTAGCTTGGTAGACTTAGGGTTAGTTCATACTTAATCATGTGACCAGACGCCGACTGCAACCGGTAAATCCAATGAAATGCACTGGGGGGCGGTCTCGACCAGTGGAGTAATATTTAAGCATGAAGTAACCTCCATCGATGCTACCTGGCACTTTATGTTTGGTGAAGCTTTTTGTGAAGATGAAAGCTCACCAAGTCCCACCGCTTAAACGATGAGCATCATCCTTCCAGTATTCCTCGATGTGCCCATTTGGTCCGGACAGGTCAACAATACATTGAGGGGAGTACTTCGAAAAGCGTGTTGTCTCAGTAACTCTTGTCTTCTCACAGTAAGTCCGCAAAAATGTCCCATTTCCCAAACGT